TCGATCTTTAAATAAACAAGCTTGAACACTAATGTGTTCGGCTCATTTATGTTCATGACAACATCATTTAAGGCTCGCGAACAAGCTCGACATAAGCTCGATAAAAGTTCGATTCCGTGTTCGATTCAAACTCTTGAATAAGCTCGATAAAAACTCAATTATATTTGATTATAAAATTAATAAAATACATAATATAAATGTTTTATATTTATTATAACATAATGATTAATTATTATTAAATAAAAAATTAAAGTAATTAAAAATATATAATAAATGCTAACAAAAAAATTTGCTAAATGTGTTTCACGAAATGGCTCAATGTAATAATTTGTTATGAGGATCGATAAAGCTCGTTTGTTAAATTAATGAACATCTAGAAGTAGAGCTCGTTTATAGCTCGTTAAAGCTTGTTTTTTAAAGCTCGACAAACGCTAACGAATCAAACATAAACCAAACTTGAACAAGTTGATAATAATGAACTCAAACATGAACACTCACATACTCAGCTCGACTCGGTTCGTTTCGCAACCATAATGTTATCTTGTCCGGACTCGAAAGTAATAATCTTCCAATTTCGAGAATCACTAGGTCTAAGCAATACAAAAAATAAATAAATAAATAATAAATAAATAATGGTGATACGACTTGTCATTCATTCTTTTTAAAAAATAGTAATATTTTTTTGAGCTGTAAATTTAACACAAAAAGCCTATCTTTTCATACTTTATTCGATAAAAAATCACCTTCAAAAAAATGTCAATAAAATAAGACAGTGACTTGTGGACTTTTTCGTTCCGAGTTCTTGAAACGTGCTTTACAATTTAATTATGGCGTTTTCCTCAAGGAATTCTCTAATGCTTATAAGATTAATTATATTAGTTGGAATGATTAAGCCCTAATTATCACCTAACTTTTGAAAGCTTAATTAGCTATTAATTCAAAAGTTAATTATGTGAGCTTTATAATTTAGATTCAATTTAGAACTTTTATATTTAAGGTCTTAATATAGTTAAGTGAAGGGTTATATAAGCTTTTTAAAATGTTATTAGTGGGATATAGATTCTCTAATGATCATGATTCATGCCACATTTATTGATAGCTTGTTGATGACGAATCTAATTGAATATTTCTTGAAAGTTTAAGGTTGGTTTGATTCTATTCATGGAATGTTCCTAATCTTCCTATAATGGGCATATTTTGGGAATTAATCTATTGATTCAAATTTATACGTGAATGATACAACATAATTTGAGAGTTTATGGTGAGTAATGAGAAGGGAAAAGGGGAATCTTAAGAAATCTAAGAAAAGCCAAGAAAATCTGAGAAGATGCTCTATAGATGGAGTAATTCTCAAAATACTTATAATTTTGTCTTTTCACCATTTATTTATAAGGTTCGAAGGCTATAGAGAATGTTACACCAAAATGATAAAAAGTATAATAATAAATATGTATGGATACAAACGGTAAGGGCGACGGTGCTGGTGAGGTGGAGCAAGCGGTGTGCACTACAGGATACGATGTAAGCGACCTGCCAGCGCTGCCGCCCAAGTTCCCGCTGCCCGGGAGTCCTTCCACCTGCTGCCCGGCTGTGCGACTGCTCGGGATTCAAACCGAGTACACTCGGTTGTTGCTAAGTCGCAACATTATGTGAGAGGGAAAATGTGTGTCATTTCATATTATATTTATTTAAACTATATCATATTAAAATTATGATTAAAAAATTAATAAAAAATAAAAATTGTGT